CGCCCGGCCACGCGCCGGCTAGTGCCGTCGGTACACGCGATTTCCTACCGAAAATCCACTCGAGCGAGATTTCTCGAAGGAAAGCGGGCGAGAGAGCCCGGTTAGCCATGCGAGCAAGAAAAGGGAGAAGCCGAGGGGCAGCATCTTGTTTCCCTCTTGTATCCCCCGATAAAGATGTAGCACACGCAGAAGTAACCCCCGAGGGAAAGGCGGGCACCGACATGGGGGGCTCTGACAGCAGCGTGCACAGCTCAGTCCCTCTCTTCAGCACTGCCACGGTGAAGGAGAAGAAGGGGAGAGAGGGGAATCTGGCTCTGAGGTTGCCCTTGCCCGGGTTTCTTTCCGCACCTTTGCGTTGCTTTGCGCAGCCCGGGGGGAGCCCGCGGTGGGAGCGCGGGTGCGCGCCGGGCGGCCGCCTGCGGAGCGGCGAGGTGACCCGCACCTCTTTCTGAAAAAATTCATCTCTTTGCCAGGCAGGTCACAAGCGATCACCAGGCTGTTGTATACTGTAATGTTTTCATATTCCTCTCGGCTCCCCCTGCCCTCTACCGACTCACTGTAGTTGTGACCTTTGGTATTTCAGCCCACACTCAGCAGTTGAATGGAAACAAGTTGAGCACGTTCACTTCTGATAAACATTATCCTTAAACCACTAGAGACTCGAGCAGAGTAAACGAGCTTTTCCGACAGGACCACATCAGGAACACACATTGAGTAAGGCAAAGAAACCAAATAGCCAGGGGATCAGAGGCGGGCTCGGGGGTGGAGGGGTGGGAGAGGGAAGGAGGGGGAACAGACAGGTTGGAGAACACGGCTGGGGGGACAGAAAAGGACACGATTGTCAACACAATAGGCACAGATGGGGAGAGAAATTGCCCAGGCAAGGCGAGAGAGAGCAGCGCAGGGTCACATCCAGAGCATCAGAATAACCCTGGGAGGCGGGGGGGCTTCAGGGGCTCAGAGCGGGCCCTGCATCTCAGGAGTCCCAAGGCCAGGCTTACACAAACTGTGTGCCTGGAGATCGCCCCCACTCGCACTTCGCTACTCAGTTAGAGCGGAGTTGAAGAAACAGGAGGAAAGGAAATGTCTGTGCAACACAGGCGGCCGAGGGGTCCCAACATCGCGGTGCAGAGCTGCAGTGCTTGGCTGCGGCAGGAGTCGCCTGGCACGTCCAAAGCTCTCGTTCAGTAAGGCAAGGGGAAATTGAATCTGGAAAAAGGGCAGCCTTGTAAGGGATTCGTCTAGCGATTATACTGTGAGAAGAAGTATAATATTAGTCGAGATCGGAACTTTTATGAACACGCGCTCCCCTCCATTGTTATGCTACATTACATGATTAAACTAATTAAATGCTGAGTCTGGGTCCCACTAGTTCGATACCTTCTCCCTTAAAAATCTCTGAGCAAAGCAACTCAACTCAAAACGTCAAAAAGGGCTAATGCCTAGCAAATGCCCGCGAGGATTCCCTGCGCAGGATGCGATCCCCTCGGGGAGACGGTATTTGCCCATGTGGAGGGGGTGCTTTTATCAAGGCTGAAGAAGCACCACCATTTACAAGTGCGATATTCTAAATGCGTAGTTCGCTTTTCTGAACAAAAGGCACAGAAATTCCGTACAAAATAGTTATTTTTTAATGCCTGCGGAGGAAATAAAAGGATCTGCCGATGTTCCAAACAAATAAAATCATGCCTGCGAAGGAACCACGACCGCCTTCTTCCCACCACAAAACGTCTGCAGCATGCCATTAATTTCTGGGTGATTTCCTATAGCATCCTACTTCTTCCTAATTATGCGTATTCACTGAGATATGTGCAGGCTCTGACATCCAGCTCACTTCATTTGATTTTTACATAAGTATTACTTACAAATATTTCACTTAAAATAATACTCATACAGGGTTCATACGCTTCAGAGACAGCAAATTTATATTTTAGTCGCTGATATTTCGTGCACTCCAGTCAATATATTATTTATTTTAATTTTTTATTTCATTTCTAGATCCCGTTTCTTCGAGGGTCGATTAAAAAATAACAAACAAAAACTCTCAAAACATTCGAAAGAAAAACACGATAAATTCTTATTTGGAGTTAGGAAGCCTCTGATCTCTGTGTAACATGATGTATGTGGGATGCGTGTAAGAGGCTCACACACACAAGCTGGCAGATTAGCCAAACCAAACACGTATCACTCTCTTCCACATACACAAACACACCATGACCCACACATACTTTAATTCCTAGCAGCTTTGTCTATTTTTCTTTTAACTGTTAATACGTAGCAGTGTCTTTGATAAGGGTTGAAATCAGCTGCAAGGCGTTGACATTTTACGGTGCTATATTTTATATAGGGATTACGACTAAACCCGAGACGGTCTTTACTTTGACGGCCGGGGAATATCAGCACCCCGATGGCCAGGCGCCGCGACCTCCGGTCCGTCTTCTCCCGGTGCAAGCGAAGCTGCGGCTGATTTCGCGACCTGCTTGTAGTTCCCGTGGAAAATAACTTAACCTTCATCGCTCGCAACACTCTCTTGCGTTAACCCGTGAAATGTTCATTAGTTTAAAAAAGCTTTATTTAAAGATTACAATAAGGCGGTGGTAAACAATAACTTTCTCTCCGTCACATGCAAAATCAATGTAGGAAAACCGTGCGTGTTTCAAGGCGTCATTATTTTCTTCTGTAAAAGCGCCGGGGAGGGAAATCTCTAGTTACTGGCTATAAGCCCCCCCGTCCCGTCCCCCCTTATCCTGGACAAGGGCTGGGAAGGCCGAAGCGCCGCCGCC